CGTGAAAAATGGATCGAAGAGTCTTGGGATTAAAGGGTTTCATGATTTCAGTGTTTGAGAAATAAATAAGAGAAACCAGTATGAAGAACTTAAGGGGGAGGTAAAACATCTAAGGCAGACAACTGGACTACATATCATGGCCTTGGAATGTAAAGTGTCTGAACTGCAAGAAGAACTCGATAATATCCTTAGGCAGCGGGCTCTATTGTGGCAAGAAATTACACAATTGCAGGCGCAGTTTTGGATGAAGACTGCAAGTTCAGAAACCCAACACGTTACAATACACGTTACAATCGTATATCAGTTGTGTAGACGAAATTTCATAATTTCTATACAGAAATTTTTATGTATAGATCTGCCTTTAGATTTGATAGTGTACATATTTTTAGCCCGCTGTTTGTTGCGGGAAGGAAGGGACAGCACTCGGATGTGACGTGGGAGGGAAGGACAATTACCGAGTCTAACAAAAAATATGCTTCCATCAAAAATGATTTTTTATCTTTAGGAGGAGTTTATTATTTATTTATTTATTTACTTTTTACTTTAATAGTTTTACAAAGAAAGGTGTCGTTACTATGCGGTTTTTATACCGGTGAAGAAGTAACTGCTGATAATAGATTTCTCTCTGTTGAAGTCGATCATGTTTCGTTTCTTTTGGTGGAACTGTACGCTATTCCTCGTTTCCTGCCTAGCACTTCCGATGCTAAAGTAGATTTTTGAACAGCGCTTTTGAAGTTTGTGGCTACCATTTTTTTTCTCTTATTGATCACACAATCCAACAAACATGATTACCAAGCTGATGTGCCCTTTTATATGTTGGTGTATGGTTTCCCGTTTTTTACAACTTTCGTCACATAGCTGGACGCTGCAGATGAAGTAACCCATAATAATATTAGGGCTCTCTCTTTTACTGATAATAGAAAACTTCCTATTTCGCTTCCATTCCGAGGCACCCCCCTCCCCCGCAATTTTATTTTCATCTCATTTCAGGTTGTAATAATCAAATAAGTTTTCCCTTTATGGCTACGTTGCGTATGTGTGACTTGGAAGGCTGCTTGAACCATGTTAGTAATCAAATTCCCTCACAGGAATGAGTCAAAACGGAGAGGGTTGTATTCAGCGTTTACAGAATGAAAACTTGTGACAAATTCGATTTGTAGGGAGCACATCCTTACTATAGAGACGCCCTTACCCTGCCCTACACTCACTCAGCTCAGGTCAGTGAATTAATTAGCGCTTGGGGTCGAGAGGGGTAAATATCTGACAGAGGAAATGACTGATATTCCCAACACAAAGCTGTATACATGGGAATTATTGTTAAATGCATATCAAAGGAACCCTAATTGACTGAAATGAGGGCGTCAGATTTCTTGGGGTGCAGTTATTGAGCAACAAATTGTCGTCCCTTTCCAGTTTGAAAAATGTTATTTTGAAGAATTGTACACACTGTTCTACACGTATAACTGCCATGCACCGATTCCAGAGATGTTTATTTATGAGTAGTGACAGATAGAGGAATATTTTTCATTCAGGTGTCTGCCTTTCATTTATTGAAACCCAGTTCATGCACTACTATCTGTCTTTGCCGCTTTAAGCATCCACTTTACAGTGAACGTAGCTGTAGGTGGTTTCCAGAACTTGCCACTGCATGAAGGAAATAGTGGATGTGTACTCCAGTCTGGATTACACAAGATTCCAAATGTTGCTTGTTGAGGTTTTGCATACGTTGTTTTGGTTGTTAATTTATTGCAGATAGAAACTCAGCATTTCCAAAATGAACACACAACGTATTTTATGGAGTCAGAATTTATTTATCCATATATTTAGTATATATCTATAGTGTATGTATCTAAACACACGTTGTAAATTTTAACAATATATTTCATATCATTTACTACTTGTTTAAATTATGTAAAATATACATATAACGATAAGTTTAACTGGTGAATTACTCGTATCGAAATTAATTCCTGATTCACAAACTTTGTAAATCAGATTAATCAAGTTCTTGTTCAACGGAAAGAGTGGGATAGTATCTTTTGTAAATGACGGCATACCTCGGATTGAAGCATCCATAATCGATTTCGGGAATAAAAGCTGTAGCTCTAACTCCCCTTCTCTTGCACTGATAATGCTTTGGAGCAAGAAATCTACATTTTTCTGCAGCGTGCTGTTTGCCTCTCTGACCTGAGCAATCTGACCGTCTACTGTAGTTAGTTAGTTATTGGAGAGGGTGGGTTTCCCCATGCAGTTAGACCAGTATTGGTCCATTGTGCTTCCCTCTATGATATTCTACCAGTCTCTATACCCTACCGATACTGGTGCGTACCATCAGTCCCGACCGAGCCAGCGAGTTCGGCCTCTACTGGCTTGGCGATATCTATAATGCTTCCCACATCTATCAGAGGCATTAGAGACTACTGTTGGGCGGGAAAGTCCTTGAATTTAACTCAGTGACCTCCTTTGGAGATATGAGGTTCTTTTGCGTGCCGTAAAGCTACGACACGGGACCCACGGCTTAAAGTCCCTCCCGGAGGACTGTTCCCTGAATTTTTTCGCCCTTAAAAATTCCACGACCTCCGCCGGGTTTGAACCCGCGTACCACGAGTCATAAGGTGGGAACGTTACCTCTAGACTACGGAGGCCGCTTACCGTCTACTGTAACTTTTGCTGCTAAAATATTTAATTTCTCTCAGTTCTCTGAAGTAACTGATTCTAGGTACTTCTTGACTTGTAGCAGTCCTTTCCTTTTTTACCTTTTCCTTATTATATTTCATATCCATAAGGGTATTATTTATAGCCCCTAGTGAAGACTTTACTACAAGAAGGTGCTATCTTAATAATTTTGTAACATCATAGATATTCTCCTCAAAATGCTTTATCTGTTCATTGTAGTATTTTGCGTCCTCATTATTTGTGGTACCAAATAAAACTTACTAATTTTACCAATAAAAATTAAATACGTATCTATTTCTGCGTATTCTATCTTGTGATCCCTAAAATCAGATAAGAGTTCCTTGGTTTTTCTAACCCCTAGCAGTTTGTCATTTGCAACTTCTGGAAAGTGATAACAGTCTGTCCAGTGTTGGACTTCTATTTCCTGACAGTTTATTTACTTGTCCTGTATACTGTCTGATCTCAGACCGGTTATATGTTCCTTTTAAATCAATATACACTACAATCTTACACTCTGTAAAAAGTAAAGTAAAGTAAGTTTATCCCTGTAACAGGCCGTGAAGGCCTACAGGGTTGTGAGACTTTGAGGGTCCCACATTATCTAGACAATCGGCTCAAAGATGGCGGTAAGGTTATCAACCTTACGCGCCGGCCTCGCTTTACTCCCCAGGAAAATTATTTAATTAATTCCTTATTCTCATTTCTGTTAGAGGCTGAGTTGACCCCAGGGCCATAGTGCGGCCGGAAGGATTAGGTCAGTTGAAAAAATCAACTGACATCGGGACTTGAACCCGCAACCTTCCGACTCTGTGTAGTACAAATTTACCTGGCCTTCATTTTTTCATAGTAAATTCTTTATATTGTTCCAGTGTATATCCCAGCTCCCTTAAGGTTGATGCTAAATCTTGGATTATTACTAGCCATAGCAGTGTGCACTAATTTGACCCTGTCAGGACGTCCCTGTGTGCAGGCCGAAATTTGAACTCGGAAACTCAGCGGATAGGAAGCTGAGTGGGCACCAGGACAACTTTGTCTGGCTCATATGTCCAGTTAATGTTCGGATTCCAAAGTTTTTCTCTTTGTTTCGTGGGTTGGGTTGAGACTGAGTCCATTTAGTACGCCGGACACTATTTGGCCTATTGTACGAGCCCCGGATGATAGATATGGAGTATTTGGTGGAATAAAAGTTGACAGGGGAAGCCGAAATTTTCGGAGAAAACCTGCCCCAGTGCCATTTTGTCGACCACAAATACCACATTACTTGACCTCGGATTAAGCCTGGGCCCCCACGGTGGGAAGCCAGCGATTAGCAACCTGAGCTATGGCGAGGCCCTCCAAAGCCTTAGTATCAAGGAATGAGATTTTAAAATTAATTAAATCGGATTATTACTTATTTACTCTTTTAATAATGCTTCTGTGGTCTAGTGGTCAGAGTTCCTGGCTACAGATACAGAGGTCCCGGATTCGATTCCCGGCGCTACCAGATTTTCTGATAAGTAGTGGTTCCGGAACTGGGTCCACTCAGCCTTGTGAGGATAATTGAGGAGCTATTTCAAGGACACCCTCTATCAGGAAAATTTGGCACTAACTTCACCGACAAGCGGCGGTCGCTCGGTCGGTACAGTTCCTGGCGGACTGAAGCCACGGATTTCCTTTTTAGTTTTTAGTGGCCATAAAATATAGTTTCTGTCATTGAAAGTTACATGAATTAAGAATTGACGTGAGATAGAAGAACATTTAATTTTGTCTGTATCGTAGGTTAGTTTAAATCGAATTCCTGACGAAAACGAAGTCAAGGGCGATACATCTAGATCAGGCATGTCCAACTTCAAACAGGTTGTGATCGACTTTTTAGCGTAAAAACTGCCAGTGATCTACTACCCCCTCCTATCGTCGTACGTCGCTTTAAGCAAAAATATTGGTAAAAATAACACGGCACATGATGTTTGTTGTAAAAGCAACATACATTGAAAGTACAGAATACTTTAACACGCATTTTCCCTTCAAAATCTGAATATAATCATATATTACAACTGAATTTACATGCTTTTCACGTATAATTTCCTTATAGGCCTATGAGATCGATCAAATATCGTCCCCCGATCGACGCGTTGGACATGCCTGATCTAGACCAATAGATTTTGAAATAGAAATACTGTAGACTTATTTGAAGTAATTTAGTTGATAAAATACAGCTGAAATATTCGGCTGTTTTAGACGAATAGCATGACCACAGATAACCACAAGCCTTGCAGTGCTGTGACTGCTCGCTCAGCGAACATTGTCCGCGGTCCGCAATGTGCAGGCTGTCGAATGCAGACGACTGCAACAAGCTGAAGTGCGAGTGTAGGCAGTAACGTTTCGTGAGTGCGTGAGTGCATGAGTGACATTGACGTGACGTCTTTTCTTATTTTTGTGTCTTAAAAGTGATTGCATTGTGACAGTGGGTGGTGTTACATGTTATATTACGATCAGTGAGCATAGGAAACTTAGAATACGCAGAAACATTGGAGTATAGATTACGAAACTTGGCCTCGTGTTTCAGGGCAGTTGCAATGTGAATGCGATGTCAGCATGTTAAGGTGAGCTTTAGCTTTGAAGGTTAAGACATTTAATTATTTGAAGAAGTCAGAATCTATGTTCCATGTTCTACACACAACGATTTCAACTACTTAATTAGTACAGTTGAATCATTTTGTTACCGAAGAGAGATGAAGTGACAGGAGGTTGGAGGAAACGGCATAATGATTTTCATAACCTGTACGCTTCTCCAAGTATAATTAGAATGATCAAGTCAAGGAAGATGAGGTGGAAAGGGCATGTAGCACGAACTGGGGGAGAAGAGGAATGCATATAGGATATTGGTGAGAAAGCCGGAAGGAAGGAGACCACTGGGAAGACCAAGACGTAGGTGGGTCGACAATATTAAAACGTATCTTAGAGAGATAGGATGGGATGGTATGGACTAGATTGATCTGGCTGAGGATTGGGACCGATGGAGGGCTCTTGTGAACACGGTAATGAACCTTTGGGTTTCATAAAATGCTGGGAAATTCTTGAGTAGCTGTAGAATTGGTGGCTCCTTAAGAAGGGCTGAACTTCATGAGTGAATGAATGAGTGAATCATTTTGTTAGAAAAAGGTAACCTGTTCACGTTTCAGAGACGTTGAATTTTTAATACCTGCATCGTGTATGCATGTCAACTAATTTGATCTGTGTGAGAGAAAACGCAAGCAAAGGATAATATCTTAAACGGAAAACCCACAACACGTCTTTTAGTCTGAAAAGCAAAAATCGTGTCATAGACGTATTTTGTCCCGAAACTAAACTATATAAGCGTAAGCCGTCACAGATTTTTTTAATAATGACAGTGGTTATAAATAAGTACTTAACAGTGCTGGCAATAAGTAATGTTACATAGAACGAAGAATACAGCTCCTATCACACCCATTGAACCATCTCCAAATACCACTAGGTTCTTCGTGGCAACAGAAAGAAAAAAGCCGTTTTCCAGCGAATTACGGCCTTTCTTGTATAAAAAATTAATTTCGTCACACAGAAGTCATGGTAGGGATATTAAAAATATCATAAGGTTCTTTGAAAGTCTGCGAGCACAATATACTCGTATTTTGATATGATTCATTCGTAGCTGGAGTACTTGTTGGTTGCCCATTTATCGACAGACTGGTCAGTGAGTTATTTACTCAGAAACTCAATGGTTGTTCTTCAGAGTTACCCACAAAACACATAATTTCAGAGAGTATGCTTGAAAGTATCCGGTAATTACAAAATGTAAGGCTAATACAAATTCGGTATTATATATTCCTAACAGGATCAATATCTGGACATAACCAAAGGCCAGAAACTGAATTCGAGGGACCTCTTGGAGAAGGTTTATAAATTCATCATCATCCGCTTCAAAGTATACGCCCATTGGACATTCAGTCCCCATTAGAATTCATTGTGAACTCCTTTGGAGACAGAGTATTCTTTAATATCCTGTGGGTAGTGAAGCAGCTTACAGCTGAGCACGCCTGGTGGTGACGTTCCCCCTCAAACCCCTGAAACTGCTTGCGGTTTGAAGTATTTCCAAGGGGGGCGATTCCACTTCGCCAGATCTGCTGAAGAAAGGGAACGGCATTCCGTTAACTGTCGTTACTGCCGTTATGGTGATTATCCTTAGACCCTCTCCAATATTTACATGTCACGTAAATGTGTGCTGGGACCGTTTACCGACAAGTCCGTGCTGAGTGTCATCAGGAGCACCTATCGTAGGTTGTGACTTCCGTTGCACACAATGGTCGTGGACAGGCAGGGGCCTAGGAACCTATGAGTATATCTCTAGTTTGAGTCTCTCCTGCCCTTTTTAGTGGCGAGACTTAATGCTGACTCAATCCCAGAAAAGGAATAATTTAGCTAGTCGATGCAGGTTATTTAAATAATTCAAATATCATTACCGTCATGTCGAGTCTAAAATTCAGGATCCGAAGTCTAATTACTCTAAGTTATGGTGCGAGAAAACGAGGATAAAAAAGGACTAGTCGCCATGTTGTAATGATATCCCAGTACCTCAGGGACTCTCGTGGGCTTGGTTCTAACACAAAATGAATGGAAGTATGAATCTAGCATTCAGGATTTCGTGTTTTTATGTGTGTGAATAGTCACTTATGGATTATGTACGTTCAAAATAAACATAAGCAATTACAAAATATTTATTTCCTATTTTATAAAATCAAAACCATTTATCAACTGGTGTGTAGCAGAACCTCAGATTCTCTTCTGACTAGGCACGTGGACACCAACGTATTTAACGAGACTGACGATTATAATGTGGCTCGAATACAAAAATTACAACCTGTATATTCTGACATTTCCATTTTCAAGAACAATGATACTTACAAAAAGCAGAACCTAACGGCCCCGAGGGCCGGTCACGGTAGCCGAGCGGTCTAAGGCATGTACTGTCTTCGCTCGCTTGGAAACCGGGATCGTGGGTTCGAATGGAACTCATGGCATGGATGTTTAGTTTCTGTGTCTGCGTTTTTCTGTTTGTGTACAGGTAGAGGCCTTGAGACGAGCTGATCACCCGCCCAAGGAGTCCTACCGAATGTGTAAGATCTAGAAAATCCGAAGTGAACGGAGAAGTTAATGGAGGTAGGCCTAGGTCCACTGGGGCTGTAGTGCCAAGGAAAAATAAATGGCCCCTAGGGCGTTCTGGTAAAATGTAAGAAGAAGACCCTTTGTCCATTTGACGCTGACTTGTGCACTGGCCCAAACCTCATACAACTCTCATATACAAACTTGATGATTATAAACAAATATGTACACAGCACAGACTAAACCAGTTTCCATTTTTGGTAGTCCTATTATATTTAAAGTGACTGCTGTAGTAGTAACTCAAACTATAAATTGTATGTTAAAATTCTACTATAATTTAAGTTCGGTTTGTAAGCAGGCGTTGAAAACGTTGTTACTTTAAATTTTTGATATGTTTACCGACTTAAATAAGAATGTTCTCCTTTTGTAAAGCACAAACAAAACATGTTTGTTACAAGATATTTTGTTTATGGAAATCATCCGAAACATTACGGTCTTTTTGATTATTTATACTTGCCATTTCGGTATTAGAACTCTGCTACTGTTGTCACAGTTGGAATCATGTCAAATATTTATTTTCGATATTAATAAATTTACGACAATGGAATAGTACAAGTCGCGGCGTAGAAAAAACCATTGTACTAGTCCTAACGTGAAAACTGTCAGCGATATAGGCGTGTGGTCTGTCTGACAATTACACATAGCTCTTATCGGGATGTTCTATTCATCCTTGACCTATCAGTTTCTCTCCCATTCTTTGATGAAATATGTCGCCTCTTGATAAACTCAGTGGCCTGTAGTCCACAAGTGAACTATACCGACCGAGCGACCGCCGCTTGTCGGCGAAGTTAGTGCCAACTTTAGCGGATAGAGGGTGTCGCGTGGTCACCGCAACGGATCCCCACGGCAGTTAATCTCGGTTTTCTAGACCGGAGCCGATATTTCCTTGAAATAGCTCCTCAATTATCCTCACGAGGCTGAGCGGACCCCATACTAGACCCACTACTTCTCAGAATGGTAACTCCGGGAATCGAACCCGGGACCTCTGGATTTGTAGTCAGAAATTCCGACCACTAGACCACAGAGGCGGCATCGTCTCTTGATATCCTTTACTAAAACAGAAATTTAAATTATACCTCAAATAATTTCTATCAGAACAACGTTGCAACCCATCACAGTGGTCGCGCGGTCTAAGGCATGCTTTGCTCGCTCATTAGTTGGGTTCGTGGGTTCGAATCCCACTGAAGGCATGGATGTCCGCGTGTGCATTTATATTGTATTTGGGTTCTGTGTATAGGTAGCGGCCTTGCTACGTGGCTGATCTCCCGCCTAAGTGTTATATCATCTGTGTAAAAAAGATTACGAAACTGAAGAAGAGGCCAGGGCCCAACAAAGGGATGTAGAGCCATAGATGAATTAATGAATGAATGAAGAACAACGTTGCAATATGATGGTCGCGTAAATATACTTGTACCCGAATCTGAGGTCCATATATATTTACTAGACCTGACATAAACTATAAACTGCCTTAACACACTCAATGTTCCCATCCCATGGAGGACCATCTGGTTCTCTTTGTTGTCGGCCATAATATAAACCATTATAATTCAGCACCATTGTATTGGTCACAGTCTCGTAAATTTATAACATTTTCACACTCTCCCACATTACTTTGTAATTAATTTAGTGGGTTTAGTAACATATTTAATTTTTCGGAATTATTTCATGACGCCATCATTATTAGGATATTTAGTTCGAATGATGAATTGTAAAACACTTGGAACAAGAAGTCGTGGCCTAGTTTGAGGCACTAACCTGGCATTTGACTAGAAGATCTATGGAAAAGAACGAAAACCTCAGGGAAGATAGCCCTTGTCCTGGCTGAGGGTCGACTCAAGCACCTCCACAATACAAGTCTAGACTATTACCGCAAGAGCAACCTACTCAGCCTATTTCGTTATTAGATAATATTTAATTCGATGTTACATGGAAGTTAATGGGAATATTTTAATTAAGATCCATTACTTAAGAACATGTTTACCTTGCATCCCGGCTGGATGACTCCTTGACTCTTCCGAACTGGGCTCGTTCTAATGAAACTTTTCTTTACTCAAAATAATTTAATTAGTGTACCCTAGGGAGCACGCGGTAGCGTAGTTGGCACTATGCTACAAGCCGAAAGACCGCGGGTTCAAGTCCCGATGAGGTCATAGGATTTTTTTTTTCAGTTTACCTAATCCTTCCAGCCGCACTATGACCCTGGGGTCGACTTAGCCTGTAACAGAAATGAGTACTAGGAATATTCTTGAAATATTCTTTGGTGTAAAAGGCGGCCGCGCGTAGGGCTGACAACCTTGCCGCCATCTATGACCCGATTGGCTAGAAAATGTGGGAGCCTCAACATCTCACAACCCTCTGGGCCTTCACGGCCTGTTACAGGGATACCTTTACTTTTTTTACCCATAATATCTGGTCTACTCTTCCT